CCCTTCCCGCGCGAAGCGCGTAAGCTTTGACGTTTCATTAAATCATTAAAGAAGAGTACCGTTCTCGACTCTTAATCCTTGTCTGAATTGAGTTCCCCCCCCCCCCTTCTCCCGCGCGAAGCGCGGAAGCTTTGACGTTTCATTAAATTATTAGAGAAAGAAGACGATTCGTTGTACCGTTCTCGGTTGTTAATCATTGTCTGAAATCAGTTTCCCCCCCCCCCCCTCCGCGCGAAGCGCGGAAGCTTTGACGTTTCATTGAATTATTAGAGAAAGAAGATGATTCGTAGTTTCATTCTCGAATCTAAATCCTTGTCTGAATTCAGTTTTTCTCCTCCCGCGCGTAGCGCGTAAGCTTCTGACGCTTCATTAAATTATGAGAGAAAAGAAGGTGATTCGTCGTATCATTCTCGATTCTTAATCCTTGTTTGAATTCATTTTCCACCTTCCGCGCGAGGCGCGGAAGCTCTGACCTTTCATAGTTTAATGAAATTATTAGAGAAAGAAGATAATTCGTTGTTCCATTCCCGACTCTTAATCCTTCTCTGAATTCAGTTTTCCCCTCCAGCGCAAAGCGCAGATGCTTAACGTTTCATTAAATTATTAGAGAAAGAAGACGATTCGTCGTACCGTCCTCGATTCTTAATCCTTGTCTGAACTCAGTTTCTATACCCCCTACCGCGCGAAGCGCGTAAGCTTTGACGTTTCATTACATCATTAAAGAAGAGTACCGTTCTCGACTCTTAATCCTTGTCTGAATTGAGTTCCTCCCCCCCCCCCCCCTCTCCCGCGCGAAGCGCGGAAGCTTTGACGTTTCATTAAATTATTAGAGAAAGAAGACGATTCGTTGTACCGTTCTCGGTTGTTAATCATTGTCTGAATTCAGTTTCCCCTCCAGCGCAAAGCGCAGATGCTTAACGTTTCATTAAATTATTAGAGAAGGAAGATGATTTGTTGTACCGTTTTAGACTTGTCAAAAATGTTTCTTTGTCTGCTCCTTTTTTCGTCCAATGTCCTCTTACTGCCCCTACCGCCCCTAGCTACGCATGCTTTAAAGGGAAAATGAAACAATCATGATTGTGATAGCATACAATTAGGTCAGTAGAAATGAAAGGGGAAAAAAGATCTATGTATACACCAACCATGAAATAATCGCGTCATATCTTAGTTTTGTGTTATCGGGCGAGGGCCGGAGCGGAGCGACCAAGCGAGATTTTGCAATGTAGAATGCTGAAATTATGCATTCTAGAAAATCCTTTAGTCCAATATGTACGTTCTTTCCGCTACATGTATATTTCTTTCTAGCTATATATCTAAATTTCCGGGGGGACGTGTCTCTCTATCGGGCCCAGGATCGCCGCCGCTGTCCATTATCACTACCTACATGAGTTCAAATATAAGCACAAGCGAGTTGGTATGAGCTGAATCCAAATGAAGGGCAAAATAAGAGTTGTGAAGCGGCCCTACCGTTAATTTAAAATTTGACTGTTTAGTATATAGCTTCTATTTGAAAGACATCCAAAATATTGTGCCCTTTTCAATTTTTTTCAAAAAGCAGGGACTGTTTGTAACGTTTAACTTTGAATCCGTGGCTCAAGATTTTATGCGGCCGGCCCGGCCCCCTCTATTCAATAACGTTTCCCAAGCCTTCTGGAATGACCCCAAATCTCCCGATTACAGTTTTTTCCCCTATTCGTCGTTACTGTCACTTAGCGCCATTTCCTTGTCTTTCCCCCTTTCTCACCCGACTTTTCTCTTCCCCTTCCCACTTCCCCCCCCCCCCCACCCACTCAGTGTTATCTAGGATATGCGCATGTATGTTCCCTCTCTTAGTTTAAAAGCACCCCTTTATCTTCGGTGTGTAGAGTCAGTGCGGGCCGGATTTGTGTGTATTACGGGCCGGACTTTGTTGCGTGAAAAGTAACCCTTTATCGGAAATTTTGGGAACACAAAATCGGTCCCTCCGACCCCGGAGTGGGAGTGAGGTGGGGAGATCCGGGTTCGGAAATGTTGGCAGTCCTCAGATAGGGGGTGCTTTCAAAAAAAGGGTACGAGCATATGCGTACCCTAAATAACACTGAGTGGGGGGGGGGGCCGGGGTTTCGAGGACCAAAAAAAAAAAAATCGCAACTACTCAGTCAGCCGCTGAATAAACGGAGGGTGGGGGGGGGGGGGTGTAAAAGCACATTTTTTTTTGGTCCCGAATATTTGAAAATCGCGCCGGCCGTAAATTCGCTCAGTGGGGGGGGGGGGGGGGGGGGGGGGGGGTTAGTGTACACTATTTTTTTTTTTGGCGGGGGGGGGGGGGCACGTCCCTGTTTGTCAGTACATTTTTGGCGAATTCGGGGCTGATTTTTTTTGGTCAGGGGGGGGGCACGTACCCCCTGTGCCCCCCCCCCCCTGGATCCGTCCCTAAAGCGCTGTCGTCTTGAGCCCTCCAGAGCCTAAAAGTGTGTTGCAGTCTTTAGTCATTATTTGCTATATACTTTTTGTGTGCACTTTTTCGAATTTTCCGGGGGACGACCCCCTAAATTTGAGGGGGGATGTGTGTCCCCCCCCCCCCCCCTGTACCCCGGGACGCCGCCCCTGGCTGCAAGAATGAAAGGCAAGGATCGTTTCCGTTTTAGCGATGCAGGTGGTTGAGGGTGTTATTTTCTCAGCTGATTGGGCACGCGACATGCACGGTCGTAATCAGTCCAGGCAGTACTGTTGATTACGCTCGATTCTTATTTTGAGGCATAACTTGTCTGAAAAGTGGAAGAAAACTAATGCGAAGAGAGGCGGTTTCGGGTCTTTAAAACGCTGAAAACTCAGGGGCTCCAGTATACCCCCACGCCGTCATAGGCGCCGTATTTAGTGTGAGGGAATCATTTTCTTTTTCTAACCTAAGAGGGGAAGGGGCATTACGCCTATCTGACCACCTGAAGTCAGACTATAGTGAGCTTATAATATCTAGACCTGGGATACGTCAACTTACAAAAATTTGTTTTCTTTATAAAAATATCTTCAAGATATTTTTTGTTAAAGAAAAGAAAACACAGTTACATACTTATTATTACATTGATGATGCAGACATGCTCAACTACAACTCTTTGTACAAATAAGTTGATTCCTCAAAATTGAAAGTGTCTCGGATGATTTTTTTTTTAATCGGCTCAGCTACTTACTATGTAGAAACCAACCTGGTAGAAACATCGATGATCTATTCATGTATTCAAATAATGTTACTGTATTAAACATCAGTTGGTTTCAAAACTAAATAAATAATTATTTACAGGAAACGCAATAAAATTACTCTTTGAATACATTCAAATTTTAATGACGTTCAAAGAACTCCAAAAGCAATCTCAAATTAAAAAAAGTCTAGTACGTCTGTTGGTTAAAAATACACGCAGTACTGTATTGAACAATCACTCCAATCGTTTGTTTATTTGGAGGGATTTTAAAGGACTCAATACAATACTATAATTATAGCAGAATCATATAGTTGATTGAAAATGTATGCGGTAAACTAACAACACTAAACCCCGCACTAATCCCTCTATTCTTTTTATTCAGCATCTTCTTCTTCTTCTCCTTCTTCTTCTTCAACTTCTTCTTGTATTCATATTTACAAACGGAAGTTAATTCAGATTATTTTATATCGAGCAAACAAAAATGCTTTGTTCAAGTTCTTTATATTTACAATTTGCAAACACTTGAGCAACACACACAAATCTATCACATTCTTGTACTTTTTGCACGGTAAAATTATGGTATCGTAAAACAAGACTGTTGTCTATTCATAGCGTTTTCTTTCCAATGTCTATGACAAATAAAGGCAGGCAATCGATATCAAGAAACAGCGTGTTAGCGGATATAAACCAAATTGTATAGAGCAGCAAAATAACAGAAATCAAAGTAATAGAAATACACAGTGACACTCTAAAGGGAAAACCCAATTAAGTAATTGTTATATTTCATTTGCTGATGAAGTGATGCAGAAAGTCAAATTAAAGGTGACAAAATTCAGCCTCTTTTGGTTACTGAACAATAACATTATTTTACTAAATTGTTCATAGATATGAATTTCTGTTTTTAGGGTATGACCTACATAATACAAAAAAGAAATTCATAATTCAAATTATAGATGGATGAATACATTTAAAGGTATATAGCGTTATATTAAGCATGTCTGGCTATAAAATAAATTAACTTTTTTTTAACCGAAATGTACAATTAGTACTGTTATTAAACAAGTTGACAACGTTCATTATCATCCCTTACAAGGCTGAACACTACTGATTATACATGTTGGTTAAAAATTGTTTTAATCTATATTTGATAGCGTGATATAACAGTGAGTGAAAACAATTCAAAATGGCTGAATACCGGGAAAGTATAAACGTTATAAATACAGGTGAATTTTACGTCTAATGTGTAAATGACCAACAACAATTACCTTGTGTGGACCTCTCCGAGAATTGTCGGAAGAGCGTTACAATTTCTTGACGAATAATACAAAAGTTAATTACGTTCCTTTGGTTGTTTAAAAAAAAAAAAAAATCGGAAGACAGTTGAGGGCAATATTTTTTGGCTAAGAATACTATACACTTTGGCTGACATAAAAACAGATACGACTTAAAATGTCGTTAAAATTTGAGGAAACATCGCAAATTATTTTATTGGAAGCTCAAAAAGATATAATATCAAGGATAAAGGTGATTACTGTTTTTTTTTAAATAAATACATACAAAATAATCATGATATTTAAAACAAAATAGCTGAAATTTTCTAATTTAAAGTGAACCACTGTAATATTGTTGAAGCTTGATGGAAAAACTGCGTATTTTTTTGTATGTTACTAATTATATTCCTTCTACTCTATGTTCTACTGTACTAACCCTCTAACATGTAAAAAATTCTGAAAACAATTATCAAACCACAAAGATATTTATAGTTTTCTCTGAAGGCGTCACTGTGCAACACCCTCTAACAGTGAATTTTCCCAAAATGTTTTTCCATGAAAATAACACATAAAACAGGCTTTTAAAAATCTTGCAACACTAAAGAGCCAATTCATTGCTTTGCAACTATTTACATTTACCTAAACTATATTTAGATTATAACAATATAGTTGGGAGAATTAAGGAATCGATCAAATCATTTTTTCCGAATTTTCATCATAAATAATGATCTGTTTTCATTCAAACTTTCAAATTATCTTTAATTGTATACATCTAGCATGGAAGTCATTTACTCTCATCTGAACAATGTTAACAAGTCCCTTGATTATCCATGACTCGGTAACAAAAAATTATTCCAGTTGTTTGTGGGTGAAATACGAGCCCATGAAACCGGGGCGTCGCTATAAAATAAATGGGGATATCTGACCAACTTTGCCAACAAGCCGGAAAAAACTCCTAGTTGAGCAAGCAATAAAAGTCCTCACATTTTTCCAATTTTGTCGACAAAGGTTTTCAAAGAAATAAAAAATAAATATAGAATATAAAAACTCACAAGTTCCTACAACAATTTTGAATACCCCCCCCCCCCTCCCCTTCTAGCGACGCCCCTGTGACTGACTAGCATGACTTAGAAAGCAGCAGCCTGTGCCTTGGTAGCCACATTGGGAGCAAAACGAGTGAATGCCACGATGTACTCCTTGACAAGAGCCATGGGAACCCCTCCATTGAGATGAAGTTTGACCATGTAACGATTATTCCATGGGGGCATGGTCACTCCAAGTGTTAGGATTCGCTCGTTAGTAGTCTGTGCTGGAGCCTGGCCAATCGATGACCACTTCTTGAGGCAACAATCCATCTGAAAAGGTAACAAGGAAATTGTCAATTGGCCCTACCACAACAATGAAATTGTATCAGAAGACTCTAGTATAATTCGTGAAAATATATGACACCCCTTTGGTCCTGCCCTGACCGGTCCTTAAGGGTTATGGTAAGGGTAAGGGTTAGGATTAGTTTTGGGGTTTAAGTTTATCTTAAGGTTAGGATTAGTTTCAAGGTTCTGAATACGTTTATAAGATCAGGTACTTGAAGTAATTAGCCTTTCAATAGCGGCGCATATCTCGGAAATAACAATAATAATTGATGCTATCATTAGAACCAATGGTGCTAATGACCATCTAAAGGATAAGCATCGTTTAGAGTCTAGAAAGGTTAGTATTAGGCAAACGAACAATAATTTACCCCTGCACAGCTGAACAAAGCCAGGCAACAGTCTGGTCGCAACCCCATGACAGTCTCGACGGACTGGACACCAACGGAAGCATTCAACTCCACGCTGTGGACATTGGGCAAAGGGATACTCTGATAGTGAAGGATGTCTGAAGCCTTTCCTGTGATGGCGTAGCCTGTCGGTTTTTTGTCCGTTCCATAAGAAAGAGTACTCAGGCTCAGACCTGAATGGAAACAAAAATGATTAAGAATTTTTTTTCTCCCTTCTTTGTTTCTGTGGTTTGAAATCTAAACTTAAATAGTGTGAATTTGCAACCTGCAATACAAAATAATTACCTCCTAGTTTTTATACAGCTCTCATCTTCTTTCATTCATTCTTAATAAACACCGACTCCTAAATAGGGACAGATGGTTCCTAACCTGAATGATGAAGAAAGCAGGAGGGGTGGCAATATAGAAAAACGCGAAGGAAAGAAGGGAGGCACCGCGAGGCAACGAGAAAATAAGTTAATATACGATTACCCCTCACAAAATACTGCCCCTCATTAGCCTTGTTCTCTCGCATTCAACCGGTCTCTCCCCCTCCCACCCCCTGTGAATAAATTAGTTTACCCTCAAAGCTGCATGGATCCATGCACGCTAGGCTACCGTCAACACAATACTCATCTAGCTTGGTAAAGGTGTAATAAATAGTAAAAACATATAGAATTCAATCGAACCTTGATAAACTTCGGCTGAGAGGAGAAGAAGGCGATGATTGGTAAGGAAAGCTCGACCCGATGTCATGTTAGCACGAGGAGGTGAATTAAGCTCAGGATTGAACATCACGAAGTCAAAGTACATGAACTGACTCACTAGCATTATTTCTTCGCTGTACAAAAGACCTGATGAGATGAAAACAATGATAACTTGATTACACTGAAGTTCTCATTGAGTTTGTGAAATTGATTAGTGTTCCGGTATCTTGTTTTGGTATCCCCTTCACCATCATCAAAATAATAATGACCTACAATTTTGTGTATCAAACCTGAATCTGAATTTTTTCATTAATATAACTCATAATTATTCAGACAGGTCCAAGGATAATAAAATTGGAGTGGGTCACAACATTTTGACTGTATTCTTAAAAAAATTGTCGCATTTTTGCCCATGTGTCAAAATTATTATCATATTATATACAGAAAACTCATTGGCTTGAGAATTTCCAAAGAAGCGGATGAAAGCGTTACTAATACTAAATTTCAATGTTGGTATAGAAATTAAGCTATAAAATACATCTCTCACTAACTGTAAGCTGTTAAAATTTGGGTGATTGGATTTGTAAACCTGGTTCATTAATTCAGTGACTTTCTTGTCACATCGATTTTGATTCGTAACAAAAGTTTTATCGTAATATAAATAATATGAAAATATTCGGGGGGAAGCGCACGGATGCACGATAAAATCTCATCAATATACTTGTGATTTGGTGATATTCTCGGCAGTATTTGTTAAATCATTTTATACATCACATTATCTGAATCTTTTTTTCAGTAATTCGAGAATATAGTAAGTGAAAGACAGTGAAAATCAGAGAAACGTGCATGCTCTCGATCACGTACCAGCAAGAAACTGATCATAAGTGAGTCCATTTCTCATGACTGTACGACCATGTTCTGCAGAAGATGCAATCCTTGCTGCTGACTCTGTGATAGCTTCTGAGGCTTGACGATGACTCAAGTGTTTCGCAGGTAGGGAGCTTATCACCTGCTGGGACGCAGGATCAAAGGCATACGGGGTCGGAGTAGTCTGTGGGGGAGGGCGGGTAGATTAAGGGTTCGTAAATTCAAATTCAAAATCAAAATATTTTTAACGAAATGTAATGCGCATTTTCCCCCTATTTTTAATACACATGACAGTGATGAACATACAAAAATAGATATCGAGATAGTTTACAATGAATCACTAAAATGCATCAGATAAACATTTCTTGATTGATTTATTTATTAGGTTTTTTCAAACTTTAGGGTTGTTGAATTCAGTGTCACAGAAGTCCTGCTTCACACAAGTATGCAACATTACATTTTTGTTTAATCTGATTTTGTAAAAATACATGTTACAGATCAGGCGCGTACGCAGGGGGGGGGGGGGGGTGTTTGGGGGGGTTAAACCCCCCCCCCTTTGGTATTTTTATGTTTATAAACCCCCCCCCCCCTAAACCCCCCCCCCCCCTTTGGGTTTTTTTTTTTTTTTTTTAATGGCCGAGTCGAGTGCGAAATTATCGGCCCGATTTGAAAATGTTAAACCCCCCCCCCCCCCCCTTGAAAAAATCCTGCGTACGCGCCTGGTACAGATAATAACATCTTTTAAATGAAACGAAAATGAAAGCAAAAGATATGTGATTTGTACAAAGTTAAAGAAACTAGAGGACAATAATATTACTCCATATACTCAATGTACCATTTTTAAATGAAAAACAAATAAAAATCTATTCCTCAAATATACCAAGAGTCATTCGATTGGGTAAAAAATAAAAATAGACAAAATATCCAGCATGTTACACCATGGTAATCACCCATTAAAATTCTTTTACCCCGCATTTCATGCATGATCCCGTTTCAAACACACGTGGCTGTTCGACCGTGCTTTATATTATACAGTGTGAGTCAAAAAAAAGTTTACACCTAGAAAATTGTTAATTATTTAAAAAATCATCGATGAACATTAAACTGTTATATGTTTTATGAAAAAGTGTTTTATCCCAAATCATTTGGTACCATTTTTGTGTGGTATGTGTTCACGCTTGGAAGAACAGGAGACATTGTTTGCGAGAGTGCAAAAATCGAATTGCGCCAAAGTTGCCTATGTGATGTTAATAAAACAATTGGGATTTGGGTATTAATTCGGTCTTTGCAGATCCATATAACACCCCTAACAAAATTAATCATGCCACACATATCAAATATCGAATATCAAATATAAACGAAAATTTGTGCGCGCGTGTTTGGGTGTGTGTGACTTTGCCCTTTGCCAAAAACATATGCAATGCATTTCATTTGATACATTCAATCCATTCTCTCACTCCGCTAATCCCAACATAATACATACTGAAGGCATCACTTTGGCGCAAGTCGATTTTTGCACTCTCGCAAACAATGCCACCTGTTCATCCAAGCGTGAACACATACCACACAAAAGTGGTATCAAATGATGTGGGATAAAACACTCTTTCATAAGATATATAATAATTTACTGTTCATAGATGCGTTTAAAAATAATGAGCAACTTTCTAGGTGTAAACTTTTTTTTGACTCACACGGTATAAAGTTCGATGTTCGAGGTATTTTTAATGTTATCTGGACTTACCAATGACGTTATGAGACTGTACTTACTTTTTTTCAGTGGGAAACTATAGACCTCCCGCTCTTCATGATGCTGCTAAGAAATATTCCCTGGAATAATATCCATTTCAACGTTCACAAAATACATTTTTATATAATATACCTTTTTATTTTACAACATTATCCGCCCTCAAATAAATGGCTTTACTACGAGACATTATTCTCTCCCAAAAATGACAATTACTGAAGATTACAGGCCTACCATTGTACCGCCGGTCAGGTTCTGGAGAAGTAAGATTTCACTGGTTGAAGGTGATGTATTCATCTATTCCTGTTATAACAAAACACGAAGGAAACATGAATATGATATCAGCTTTTTCTGTAGTAGCACTAAAATCAACGATAGGTTCATAGATTGTGAGCATAGGGATATAAATTCGCTGGCATATTGACATGTCATTCCCTACACTCTTAACAATATTGAGTACACTCCACTGGGTAAATGGAAATTGGGCAAAGGTTGGATAAATCTTTCCCAGCCTTTTTACTACACGCATTTACCCTACATAGGCAAAAGAGAAATGCCTATACTGGGCAATCAGCACTGGGAAAACACAAATTGGGCATAAACCTATACTGTGTAAAACTTCCCAAACTAATTATATGCATTTACTCATCATGAAAACAAAACATAATGCCTATATACTGGGTAAACACTAAACACCAACGAGTAAAAACAAATTGGGCATATTTTTACCTACAACTATGGGTAACATAACAAAACGTAAGGCATGCCCACATATTAATAATGATTTTATAACAAGCACTGGTAAATGAAAATTGGGCATAAATTATCTAAATGCTTACCACATTGGGTATTCGTTCCCAACTTTTGAAAGTAGGCCCGTATAAGCACAAAGCCAACATTGTGTCAAAAACCATGCCTATCAGACCTGATTCTGGGTGACCTTTATGATTAATAGCCTGAATATGGTATTGTTTTATAGTCACTGCATTCCCAAGATTGCCGACTCATTATGATTATCCTCGGTCCCCTACTTGTTATGCTATATAGGCATTTTTGCAAAAACACATCCCACAAAAAAAGAAATTGTAAAACGAATTATTATGATTCCTGAAAGAGTGTCGGAGAGCAGCAATGGTGAACGATTGTTACTAAAATTCAGCAACAATTAAATCGTTGCTTGCTAATTCCCCTTACATTACAATGAGACATAAAGTTAGACCGACAAAAATGCTAGCGTCTAATTGAACACATTACGAGAACATTAGAAATAGAATGAATAAAGTATTATGTGATCATTTAAACAACAATGTTTCAATGATAATCCCCCGGAATAATCCTCGAGTTACACGACCTTTCGTAAAATAAATCAGCAGATCATGTAAAGATGCGATCTTACGTAGATTTGCACTAGGGTTTTCACAAAGCGTCGTGTTAATTGGACCAGACCATGTGTAAATGGGGGTTTATTTCACAAACATTACCCCGTCAGTTCGTGAAAAAATTAACATGTTTTAACAAAAGGGCAGATAACGCGACGCGATGACCCAATGATTCGAAGTAAGCAAAATCCTGGTGTAATAATAATAATATTCCGTTTTTATATAGCGCTCAATACATCGACCCAACAGATATAATTATTATTACCCCGGTCATCCGATTGCACCTCCCCCGTCTTCCCCCGTCTTCACTCACACTTCTAGTGAGAGGAAGAAAAAAACCAGTATCCTCTTATCACTTGTGATAGACCTCAAGGAGGAGACCGTCCCTGGTAGCACTCAGTGTGAGGGGACGACCGACTTGTGTGGATACAGGTAAACGTCCTGGTTTCACCTTTTCGCCGGTGGGGGTGACTAGCTGACAACCAAATTTGTCAGCTACGAACGAACCAGGGTGGCTAGGAGAGGACCGACTCACCCGCCTAGCTAGTTTGAGCGAAACTACTTCATGATGAAAAGCCATAAAAGCACCAGGGTTAAAGCCCCTGCCTCTACTAATTTGCCACTTCTTTCCGGGGGCCTACAGAGAGTAGTGCAACATGACGTGCCAACTCCAAAGCCAATTGGAAGAGATGGTGTTGATAAACCACGGAAAAGAGATGCTTTACTAACAACAAAAAAGACAATTGGAATAGGAACCTGGAATGTGAGAACGCTACATCAACCAGGGAACCTCGAAATCCTACTTCACCAACTAAACAACTTTAAATGGGAGATAGTAGGTGTATCAGAAACACATTGGACTGACAAGGGAGAGTTTACCTCTGAAGGGTACAAAACACTATGCTCAGGAAATGAAACTCTACACAGAGGGGGTGTAGCACTGATTCTGAACAAAACAGCCCAGAACTCACTCCTAGGATATCATCCTATTTCATCCAGATTGATCACTGCCAGATTCCAGACTCAAGCAGGTGCCATCACAGTGATCCAAGTTTATGCCCCAAATACAGCTGATAATGAAGAACTAGTAGACGAATTATATGACCAACTTCAAGAAGCAATCAATTCTACACCAAAGAAAGACATTCTGATAGTGATGGGGGATCTAAATGCAAAAGTGGGAGACAGTTACTCACAATGGAAACAAGTTCTAGGCCAACATGGATTTGGAAAGGCAAATGCCAGAGGAGAGAAACTACTCAATTTTTGTGCAGCGAATGATCTTGTTATCACCAATACCATGTTTAAACAAGCCAAAACAAGTAGAAAATGGACATGGGAATCACCTGATCAAAAGACTCACAACAAGATAGACTTCATAATGATTAACAGCAAATGGAAAAGCTCAATCAACAACTCCAGGAGTTTCCCCAGTGCTGACATAGGCTCAGATCACCAGTTAGTCATTGCAAACTTAAGACTGAGATTTAAAGTTAGAGGAAAACCCAAGTTTCTAAAGCGATATGATGTCTTCAAACTCAAAGAAGCAGACGTCCGCTCAAATTATGAAATAGAAATTGGAGGAAGGTTTGGCCCACTTCTAGATGATGAAAACACAGATGTGGAAAATCTATGGGAAGGCATCAAGTCAGCATACAACGAGACATCGACCAAACTTCTCGGAAACAGAAAGAGTCAACTTCAGGACCCTTGGATAAGCGAGGAGGTGCTCCAACTAAGTGACCAAAGGAAAAGGGTTAAGCAGGAGAAGTTAAGTGATCCTACAAAGAGAGCCCACTATAATTTCCTAAACAGGGAAATAAAGAGAAAGACAAAAGGATGTAAGGACAGATGGATTCAAGATCTATGTAAAAAGGTTGATAAGGCACACCAAGCAGCTAAGTCCAAAGAAGTCTACTCAACAATCAAGACACTCACTAGGAAACCAAATATCAAGATGCAAACAGTAAAGAGCAAAGATGGACAAGTACTGACAGAGATAGAGGATGTAAAAAGGAGATGGAAAGAAAGTTATGAAGAACTTTATAACAACCAGAATCCCATCAACAAGGATGCAACTGAGGGAATTGCACAGATGACTAGTATGGAGGAAGAGCCTGAAATACTTAAAGAAGAGGTCATTAGTGCTATCAAAAGGATGTCAGATGGAAAGGCCCCAGGCTATGATAGTATAACAGCAGAGGAGTTAAAAGCATCCGGAGAGAGTGGCACTGACATCCTTCACAAACTCTGCAACATAATCTGGAGAAAAGAATCTTTCCCAACTGACTGGGGCAGAGCCATTATAACACCTATATTCAAGAAGAAGGATAAGCTAGATTGCGGAAACTACCGGGGAATCAGCTTACTTAGCCATGCAGGAAAGATATTTGCATCAATCCTTCAAAGAAGAATCCTGAAGAAGACAGAGGAAATTTTATCAGAGTCCCAGGCAGGTTTCAGACCAGGGAGATCAACCATAGACCAACTGTTTACTCTAAGACAAATTGCAGAAAAGCACCTTGAAAAGAACAGAAGTCTGTTTTGCTGTTATATAGACTTTGAGAAGGCATTCGATTCAATATGGCAGGAAGGACTTTGGAAAGCTATGAGATTCTTTGGCTACTCCAATAAGACAATCTGTCTCCTAAAAGCACTATACAAAATCTCAGCTAGTGCAGTCAGGGTAAATGGCGAACTTACAGACTGGTTCCCAACAACTGTGGGTGTACGCCAGGGCTGTGTATTATCACCACAGCTATTCAACATCATCCTAGAAATGGTTATGTTACATGCCACCTATGACACCCCTATTGGAATAAACATCCAAGGCCATCTGATCAACAACCTCCGCTTCGCAGACGACATAGTTCTTCTTGCATGCAACGAAATAGATCTCCAGTCCATTGTAGATTGTGTACAACAGTGGAGCTCAAACTTTGGCCTCAAAATCAATATTGCCAAGACAGAGGTCCAGGTCATCAGTAAACAGCAGCAAGACATTAACATCAGCATAGGTGGAACCAAACTACTACAGGTGGAAAAGTTTGTTTACCTGGGAGGTACCATCACTCAATCAGGAAAATGCACAGAGGACATAAAGAACAGAATTGGAAAAGCCCTGGGTGCTGTTCAAAGTCTTCACAGCATATTGACAGCCAAAGACATTAGAGATGTTACAAAACTTCAACTATATAAGGTACTCATCCTATCCATCCTTATGTATGGATCAGAAACATGGACACTGAAAAAAGAAGACGAGAACAGGCTCCTTACCTTCGAAATGATCTGCCTCCGAAAAATCTTGGGGGTAACCAGACTAGACAGAATAAGGAATACAACAATTCGGAAGACTCTAGGACTGGATGAAACCATTCTGGACAAAATAGCCAAAAAACGGCTACGATTCTTTGGCCACGTTAACAGGATGAGACCATCACGATACCCAAAGATACTCCTAACTTCTGATATCCATGGTGATAGACCCCGGGGCAGACCAGCCAAGAAATGGATAGATTGTGTAAAGGCCGATTGTGCTACTAGATGTCTGGGATCCCTCACAGAAGCAACCAGAACATCACAAGACAGGAAGATCTGGCTTGACGTCATGAAGCAGAAGCCATCACACATCTCCCAGATGGTGCGGAAGGCTTAGGTCAAGGTAGGTCAAGGTCATCCGATTGAGGCTTACCCGCACATGATTATTATGCATATTTTTCAATCCCTGGGCATGGAGCATTCCAGCCAGTCGCCATTTTAAAAGCGCACACTAACCCTTGCTCGTCCAACCCACTGATTTTTCCGTAGAGATCAGTGGTCCAACCACATGAACTTTCGCATCCTACCGGGTACCCAGTTTACACCTGGGTGGAGAGTAGCAAGTGCGAGTAAATATCTTGCCAAACGATATTAGTGCTGTGTCGGGATTCGAACCCTCGACCTTCGCATCTCCAGTCAAGCGCGACACTCCATAAAGGTATAATAGTATTAGCACTGTTGAGGCTACCGTGTTTAAACAAAACATTATTCCATCCTCATTAGTAATTATGTACATGAATGATACAAATATTCATTCTCATGATTTCCACCATCAATATGGTAAATAATGAACTTCAGGAAGTCATCTCGTTGCAAACCTGAAAAATAGTATGGCTTTTACAGCAATACACTATTGAATTTTACTTCATCATCCTTGTTTCCAGTTTCTTTTCTATGCTGTCTTGTCATAGATAACGTTCTTAGTCAATGACGTAGCTCCGGGGAAAAAAAGGGGGGGGGGGGGTGTAAGAGTTTAAAAATGTTCAGAACCTGATTTGAATGAACGGGATTTTGGCATAGAAAGAATAAAAAGTGCCAAGATACTGATGTTTATTTCAGTCTGTGATGCACGTAATTTCGGAATGTATCTAACATAAATGGTTTTTTAATATTTTCTCACGCTACTTTATAATAATATGACATTCATTGCGTGTGCGGTATACATTTTTATATTCAGTCCTTTTAATAGTCTCATCGGGTGCAATGCGTACATGGGGGATGGTGTTGAAAAGACCATGATTGGCGACGGGACACATTTTGATCCTTGAAACGTGTTTTAAATGGTAAGTTTGGCCTTTAAAATTGCTCAAATGTTTTTTTTTTTTTTAAATATGAGAAGCCCGAAAGTGACGAGCGGGTGATCGAGGGCAACCTAACGATTTTTGTTTTGGCCTTATCGTATTGCGAGAGGGAGAGAGAGAGAGGGAGAGAGAGAGCATAATAATTATGACGCTACATAAAATAGCAGTTCCACTATGTTGTTTATCGTATTGGCCTGCACCCATCGCGTGCTCGATCTTCAGATAAAAAAACTTGGAACAAGCGGGGATAAACTGGGTGCAAGCCAGAAATTATTGTATGAACAGAAAATGAAACGTTTCCCATGCAGGAAGCCTAACATAATTATTTGCGTTTGTGTTCATGCAAATAGCATTGTAGAGGCAATGAACAAATAAGAATAATAATACATCGTCGTTAACCGTGAGAATGTTCACTTCTATAGCTTTCTCTGCTAATCCTTGTGAACAGTGGGATCAGCCGAGTGGAATCAACTGTAAAACGAATCGGAATGATTCGCAAAACAGTAAATTTCTACCCCGTGGTTGTATAAAGAGCAGCAAAGGAAAATAATAATTGTGCCTAACATTCAGCAACAATCATTGCTAAGATTGCTTTTGGGACACAAAGCTATATAGATAAAACTGTGATTGACAAATGATATTGTCTTGAAAGCATTTAACATTGGAAATAGAATGAATAAGACATAGATGTGATCATTGCAGCCGACGATGACGAACTCGATGACGAACTTGATTTGACTTTGATGAAATTGGATGCGACATGATGACATTAATTGGACGAAATTGTCCATGACTGAGGTGTGCAAGATTAGTGTCGGGATGAAATCGATTAAAAGAAAGTATGAAATATTTATTGATTGCCAGGAAAGAGCATTAAAATGGTTAATCGGGAACAAGTTGGGAACATTTTTTTCTTCAAATTTCACTTCATTATCTGGATTTTGACATTTTTAGAAAAATATGCGCGTATCCCTATTAAAAAAATGTCATGGAATCTGTTTCTATGGCCTTTTGTTTATGCTTGGCTGCATGGTTTACTATAACGAATTAAAAGCTCATCTCATATAATTCATAAATTATAATTTTCTTCTATTTTTTCTATTTTCTTGACGTAATCATCAACGACAAGTACAAATTCCTAATCTCTGCAATTCAGAACCTCAATAAAGAAAAAAAAACACTGTTGGAATTCTACGTCTCTTTATATATATGTTATCCTTTTTTTTAATTTCTATTTTCACACAATACACGATGCAGTCGGAGTCGATCGTGTAACACGCCCGTAACACGGCACGCAAAACTAGAATGATCGGCATTGGTAATGGCGTTGACTGTCTGGTGATGCATTTCTAGTTATGATCACATTAAAACACGACCTTAATTGCCAAGGAGGCAGAACTCCATCCGCCATACGAATTTTGTTTCTATACAAACCTCTAGCTCTACGTTACATAATTATCTCAAGAATTACACACGTAGATCGTAAATCTTGATCTTGTAGTTATGTGCAGAGCTTGTCATGATCAATCGATTTCATGTTGAAATCTCTCTTATAGTAATACCACCTGCATGAATCTTGCGATATGGATATGGAACTATTATCATAGATCAAAATCAGTATATTATATACAAATACCTTATTAGTATACTCACATAACTGTTATGAAGCACAATGTGAAGTGATCAATGACAGCTACAGCTTTCTGGTAATGCTGCTTCTCTGTGAGCGAATGAATGTGCAAGTGCTCTCTCTCTCTCTCTCTCTCTCTCTTTTGGTATCATTTTTGTAACTTCACACAATATGTCCGCCATTGTAGCGGGGAATCCCAGTTGGGAAAACCACAGAATGGTAAATACCAAGTTCGCAGGTCAACTTATCATGCACAAGCGTTAAGCCCTAGCTATAGCCGAACATGAATAAACACAAAATCATAAGATCCAGACATTTTGTTTGTAACGATCATTGCCACTATAAAGTGTGAGTCGAAGAAAGGTTACACCTAGAAAATTGTGAATTATGATCATACATCTAATGAAAGGCTGTTTTATCCCGAATCATTTGGTATCATTTTCGTGTGGTATGTGTTCACGCTTGGATGAACAGGAGACATCGTTTAGGAGAGTGCTAAATTCGACTTGCGCCAAACGGATTGTGATCTTTGAATAAAACAATTGGGATTTGGGTATTAATTCGGTCTTTGCAGATCCAAATAACATCCCTAACAAACAACATTAATCATGTCACATAATTATATCAAATATCAAAGAATTTTGTGCGCGTGTCGTGTGTGAGACTTTGCTGATGCAAAAAAACATAATGCAATGTATCTCATTTGATGTACATTCAATAAATTCATTCTCTCACTGTAATATAGGCATCACTTTGGCGCAAGTCGATTTTTGCACTCTCGAAAACGATGTCTCCTGTTCATCCAAGCGTGAACACATACCACACGAAAATGATACCAAATGATTCGGGATAAAACAGCCTCCTGTTCATCCAAGCGTGAACACATCCGACACAAAAATGATACCAAACGATTCGGGATATAACAGTATTTCAAATCATGTATCGTTCATAGCTGACTTTTAAAAATAAACAATAATTTTCGAGTATAAACCTTAATATTTGTTTTACTTACACGGTAGCTATTTTGTATGTCATCAGCTTCGATTTTTATTGCATGATATGAGTTCTGCAATGCCGATACATTCAAACATGTTCCATTGTAGGCCTACCCCCCCCCCCCCCCCTTTCACTTCAGGGAATGTTGAATCACTGGAACACATCGTGGAAGCAGCAGCAGATTTCCCTGATTGATTGATTGATTTTTATTCGACAAGCTTCCAACATACAACAATATTATATACAATAATAACAGATCAAAAATATTAAGTCAGCTTGAACAGGATAACCCACGAAAGCTCGAGAGCTTATTTCCAGTGGGGTCCCTTACAGACATGTATACAATTAATAAGTTAAAATACTAGTAATATTTACAGACAGATAAGAAAATTAAAGAAATTACTTATTAAAGATAATGATAATAATAACAACATTAAACTGATGATAGAAATGATAAAAAGTACAAGAAGAAAAAGAAGAAGGAGAAGAAGAAAAAGAGGAGGAGGAGGAAGAGGAAAATAATGATCAATTTGGAGAATTTCTATAACGTACGAAAACATATGTATATACAAAATGAAAAAGTATGAACCGGCAGAAGAATACAAATTTAAATCATATAACATGTCATTCACTTCTCTTCTCTGACTGTCAAGTATTAGGTATTTCTTTAATTTCCTCTAAAAATGAGCATAGTTTCCTATTTCTTTTACACCATTGGGAAGGGAATTCCAATGATTTATGGCAAACAAATTTCCAATACTACCTACTCTTTCTGGTAAGTTAAAGTTGAATCGACTATTTCTTGTATTATAATCATGTACGTCAGTAACAAGATCGAAGTTGGATCGAATATAATGATTCGACCTAGTATGATATATTTGAAAAACATGCAAGCAAGCAAGAAAGAAGAAAAAAGTCTTTATATCTTTGTGATGCTTTTTTAATATAAAGAAATATTAGCAATATTGGTAGGCCTATATTAGAGCATTAAAATGGTTAATCGGGAACAAGTTGGGAATATTTTTTTCTTCAAATTTCACTTCATTATCTGGATTTTGACATTTTTAGAAAAATATGCACGTATCCCTATTAAAAAAATGTCATGGAATCTGTTTCTATGGCCTTTTGTTTATGCTTGGCTGCATGGTTTACTATAACGAATTAAAAGCTCATCTCATATAATTCATAAATTATAATTTTCTTCAATTTTTTCTATTTTCTTGACGTAATCATCAACGACAAGTACAAATTCCTAATCTCTGCAATTCAGAACCTCAATAAAGAAAAAAAACACTGTTGGAATTCTACGTCTCTTTATATATCTGTTATCCTTTTTTTAAATTTCTATTTTCACACAATACACGATGCAGTCGGAGTCGATCGTGTAACACGCCCGTAACACGGCACGCAAAACTAGAATGATATGTCTTTACATCGGCATTGGTAATGGCGTTGACTGTCTGGTGATGCATTTCTAGTTATGATCACATTAAAACACGACCTTAATTGTCAAGGAGGCAGAACTCCATCCGCCATACGAATTTTGTTTCTATACAAACCTCTAGCTCTACGTTACATATCTCAAGAATTACACACGTAGATCGTAAATCTTGATCTTGTAGTTATGTGCAGAGCTTGTCATGATCAATCGATTTCATGTTGAAATCTCTCTTATAGTAATACCACCTGCATGAATCTTGCGATATGGATATGGAACTATTATCATAGATCAAAATCAGTATATTATATACAAATACCTTATTAGTATACTCACATAACTGTTATGAAGCACAATGTGAAGTGATCATTGACAGCTACAGCTTTCTGGTAATGCTGCTTCTCTGTGAGCGAATGAATGTGCAAGTGCTCTCTCTCTCTCTCTCTCTCTGTCTCTCTCTCTTTTGGTATCATTTTTTGTAACTTCACACTTACGTCCGCCATTGTAGCGGGGAATCCCAGATGGGAATCCCAGTTGGGAAAACCACAGAATGGAAATACCAAGTTCGCAGGTCAACTTTTCAGGGAAAAGAACTTATTTTCGAAGCATTTGTTTCAATGGTAAAGTTCAAACAAAAAATAGAATATAAAATTGCCCAAAAGAAAAATAAATTACAAGTTCATTTTAAGAAATGGTCTATCAAGTTTAACTGAAATTTAGGAGTAGTCTTGCAAAGCTCTGTTGTCATTAACATCTTCATTGGCTTTTTGAACTGTAAACTTGCCCTCTGGGAAAGTATATGAGTGTGAGTGTGTGTGTGTGTGTGTGTGTGTGTGCGTGTTTATGGGTGCATGAGTGCGTGCCTGTTTTGTAGTTTTAAGATGATATTATATTTTTTATTGCTGCTTTTACTCTGTTAATTTTTCAGAAAAAACAATAAAAACAGAAAAAAAAGAAAAAAAAAGTTCGCAGGTCAACTTATCATGCGCAAGCGTTAAGCCCTAGCTAGCCGAACATGAATAAACACAAAATCATAAGATCCAGACATTTTGTTTGTAACGATCATTGCCACTATAAAGTGTGAGTCGAAGAAAGGTTACACCTAGAAAATTGTGAATTATGATCATACATCTAATGAAAGGCTGTTTTATCCCGAATCATTTGGTATCATTTTCGTGTGGTATGTGTTCACGCTTGGATGAACAGGAGACATCGTTTAGGAGAGTGCTAAATTCGACTTGCGCCAAACAGATTATGATCTTTGAATAAAACAATTGGGATTTGGGTATTAATTCGGTCTTTGCAGATCCAAATAACATCCCTAACAAACAACATTAATCATGTCACATAATTATATTAAATATCAAAGAACATTTGTGCGCGTGTCGTGTGTGAGACTTTGCTGATGCAAAAAAACATATGCAATGTATCTCATTTGATGTACATTCAATAAATTCATTCTCTCACTGTAATATAGGCATCACTTTGGCGCAAGTCGATTTTTGCACTCTCGAAAACGATGTCTCCTGTTCATCCAAGCGTGAACACATACCACACGAAAATGATACCAAATGATTCGGGATAAAACAGCCTCCTGTTCATCCAAGCGTGAACACATCCGACACAAAAATGATACCAAACGATTCGGGATATAACAGTATTTCAAATCATGTATCGTTCATAGCTGACTTTTAAAAATAAACAATAATTTTCGAGTATAAACCTTAATATTTGTTTTACTTACACGGTAGCTATTTTGTATGTCATCAGCTTCGATTTTTATTGCATGATATGAGTTCTGCAATGCCGATACATTCAAACATGTTCCATTGTAGGCCTACCCCCCCCCCTTTCACTTCAGGGAATGTTGAATCACTGGAACACATCGTGGAAGCAGCAGCAGATTTCCCTGATTGATTGATTGATTTTTATTCGACAAGCTTCCAACATACAACAATATTATATACAATAATAACAGATCAAAAATATTAAGTCAGCTTGAACAGGATAACCCACGAAAGCTCGAGAGCTTATTTCCAGTGGGGTCCCTTACAGACATGTATACAATTAATAAGTTAAAATACTAGTAATATTTACAGACAGATAAGAAAATTAAAGAAATTACTTATTAAAGATAATGATAATAATAACAACATTAAACTGATGATAGAAATGATAAAAAGTACAAGAAGAAAAAGAAGAAGGAGAAGAAGAAAAAGAGGAGGAGGAGGAAGAGGAAAATAATGATCAATTTGGAGAATTTCTATAACGTACGAAAACATATGTATATACAAAATGAAAAAGTATGAACCGGCAGAAGAATACAAATTTAAATCATATAACATGTCATTCACTTCTCTTCTCTGACTGTCAAGTATTAGGTATTTCTTTAATTTCCTCTAAAAATGAGCATAGTTTCCTATTTCTTTTACACCATTGGGAAGGGAATTCCAATGATTTATGGCAAACAAATTTCCAATACTACCTACTCTTTCTGGTAAGTTAAAGTTGAATCGACTATTTCTTGTATTATAATCATGTACGTCAGTAACAAGATCGAAGTTGGATCGAATATAATGATTCGACCTAGTATGATATATTTGAAAAACATGCAAGCAAGCAAGAAAGAAGAAAAAAGTCTTTATATCTTTGTGATGCTTTTTTAATATAAAGAAATATTAGCAATATTGGTAGGCCTATATTAGAGCATTAAAATGGTTAATCGGGAACAAGTTGGGAATATTTTTTTCT